TCTTTCTCTTTCAAAATTCAGTAAGCTTGTTGTATTTGTATTGATGAGTTATGATTTATGAAGTGCAATATTTCTTTTCTTTTTCTTGGCTATCTTTGATAAGCCATTATATACACAGCATCTAATGAATATCTGGTTAACACCAAATCGGGAATAAAAGTAAATTAAATAAACCAAAGAAATATAAATATGAAATAAGTTTTCTCTTTGTTTTTTTTTCAGATTTCATAAAGTAATGGTACCAAATATACGATATATCGGAAATTATGACATAAATGCGGAAGGGAAATTTCTTTGGGAGATCCTTTGTCAATTGCGAAATCTTGGAGTTGGAAGAATTGTGACGAAGAATGAATGGGGGAGAAAATGGCCGAAACAACCGTCTTACCTAAAAATTGTTCAGGTAAAATGGATGGATTGTTTGTTTGGTAAAATGGATGGATTCGGGATAAAATTAATAAATGAATGACGAAAATGCATTTCGGTAATATTTACTTTTTTCCATGAGATATCACAATTAATTAACTAATTAGCCAACATTTTGTTTTTGATAATGTAGTTATTGATGCGAAATTGTTAGCAAAGAAATAGAATTATCAAAACAGTCAATTTTAATCAGTGCACTGGAAAATTCATCTTTCTTAATTAGATTTAATTTTTAGGCTTGTCCAAGTATGGATCGTTGGTTGCTTCGAGGAAAACTTTGGGCTGATTGGACCTATAGGGGCATTAATTTAGGTTTATATGAATTTAGCACCGACTTAGCACGCTCAGGTATATTACAGTTATTCTTTTCTTTTTTGACAACTGCTTTTTTGTTTTGATAACTTTCCAAAAGAATTTAGAATTTTAGAAATTTCGATTTTTTCTGTAGAATTTAGAATTTTATGTTTCTATTTATGAGCACCTTTTCGAATGATTTCAACTTTGATAAGATTAAAATATTCCTCAAAATGTCTTCAGAATTAGCCCTAAAATTAGGAGGAAACTGCAGATAAGTTTAATTTACTGTTAATTTAGTCTCTATTCATTTTTTTTTTTTTTCTACAGATTGGCGTTTAATCCATAAGCACGAGGAAGACGAATTCATGAAATGTGATAATCCAATGAAACCAATAGAATATCCGAAAACGATGCCACTTCCTCCATATCTCGTGTGTATTAACCTTTGAAGATTCCTTTCAATGCTTCCAGAATTTTTCCTTTTTTATGCTATCATTCAAATTTATTTAGAAAAAAAAAGAAACATTTTGTGGAAGCATTCCTTTCGTATTCATAATCACTTTTTCAATAAAATTTTTTATGCCTTTAAAGCAAAATCGAAACATCTCATAAGAAAATTTCAGCGAGCTGTATGTGAAAACGGTGATGTGGTAAGAATGGAGGAAAAACGGATAAATTTGGATTTGTGTTTGGATCCTCAGTTTGAAATGATTAAGCATCTTTTCAAGCAGGTTTGCTTAAATTTATCATATATGCTAGTTTACTTCTCACTTTTTGTCCATTGTATGAAATTTCAGCAACAAAGCTTGCTTGTGTTTTTGCGATTTTAAGGGCTGATTTAGTTTCTTAATTCATTATTCATTTATATCGTTAAACTTGCTCGCACCATCGCATCATGGAATGTGAATGTAATTTCTCAATTTCTCCCTCGTCGAATGAAGCATTACAGGTTGAAACTCGACATGGAAATTCTGTTTATGACGAAACAAGACCGGAAATTTGGTTAGATTTATATGGTGATGAAATGCCAACAAAAGTGGAGGCATGGACGGCTGGTCCAGCAGAGTTACGACCCCATTTTGACAATTCTGTTCCGACGCCTTGTCCACCGGAGCTAGACAACATGTCATTACCTGAATTCAAATTCGATTTTCCGAAGTCAGAAAGTATTAACAATGCTACAAATAGCGAAAATTCGGATGAGAATAAACATCTGCAAAATTAATGTAATGTTTAATTAAAGGAAATGGGATCAACATTGTTATACTTAGCTGTAGAAATGATGAAAACAAAAGATCAAGGAGGTAACTTTTCATTAATAAAGAAAAGGTAAGAACGAGAAAATATATTCTTTCAGTCGAAGCGGAAATAACAATTTAAAAGTGGATGGCAATGAGGTCAGCGGTTTATGCATTAATATTTCCACAAACTAAATTTAATAGTATCTCCAAACATCTACTTTTTTCTTTTTATTTTAGATTTTTATCGAATTGTTATTTCTCCCTTCCACTTTCACGTTTCATTGCATTATTTTTCCCCAAATGCTTTTGAAATTTTCCATACATATTGTTGATTCTATTGTATATAAATTGTAGTATGTTGTTGAATAAAATATTAATAGGCATTTCATTTTTCTTTTGATAAAGCTAAAGCTGTCATTGCTGTTAAGCTCTAACAATATTTTTAAGACAGTTCGATTTGCATAGAAAATGTTTGTAATTATCTGTACAGGTGTGTGGAAAATTGCAATTCAAGTAGCATAATGTTAGTATCTGTTTCAAAGCGACACATTGTTTTGGTTGAATTTTCTATGCATAAATTCAAGTATAATTTTCCATATGTAGATGGATATTTTGCATATGTATATATATTTTCTTATCATAATTTTAACTTTAATAGCTTTTGTTTCAAACATATTAGACGCAATAATGGTGGAACCAGTGAAAATGGTATTGGTAACAGGTGGTGTCATCAGTGGTGTTGGAAAAGGTATTATCTCGTCTAGTTTGGGTGTACTACTTAAAGCTCACGGTTACCGAGTTTCGTTCATTAAAATTGATCCATATATTAACATCGATGCTGGCACATTTTCACCGTTTGAACATGGTAAGAGTTTAAATTAATTGAACTTCCAAGAAAATTATATGATGAACTCGTGAACGTCGTCCAAAAAGCTGATGCAATAACTATGAAATAGTGGAATAATTATGATGAAAAAAGCCAGGTGTATCTTGACGATATTGATCATATGACGTCGTTATGGGTTCAATGACAAACGTACTTCTTCTGAAGAAGCATGATACAGTTTTACTACTGTACGGTTGATGTTGATGAACAAATGATATGATTACATGTTCTGATGCGTTTAACATGGGCGATATACTAGCTGTATTATAGGTGAAGTGTTTGTTTTGGATGATGGTGGTGAAGTTGATTTGGATTTGGGAAACTATGAAAGATTCCTGAATATTCGTTTAACACGTGATAACAATATTACAACCGGGAAGATATATCAACAGGTCCTCACCTTATAAAAATCATTTGTTTTCAATACAATACTTTCTAGAAAAGTGGAGAATTTTTTTATATAAAAATACTTCAGAAAAAACTTACGGCGAGAATGTTTAGGAAGTATTTATTTTAATCATTCGTCGTACATGTATAGGTTATCGAACGTGAAAGACGTGGTGATTATTTGGGCAAAACGGTGCAAACGATACCACATATAACAAGTGCAATCACTGAATGGGTAGAGCGTGTTGCAGCAATACCAGTTGATGCTACAGATCAGCGACCAGAAGTGTGCATTGTTGAAGTTAGTATTACAACTAATTAATTCTCATACTATATCCATTAAAAGTTATTATTCTCAAAAATTTCCATTAAAGAATACAATCAAGAAAGATTGAAAATGAAAAATTGTGTAATTATTTCAGCTTGGAGGTACTATTGGTGACATTGAAAGTATGCCTTTCGTTGCTGCCTTTGAAAAATTCCAAAGACCTGCATTCAAGGATCAGCTAATGACAGGTTTGCATCTGTTTTTCTTCACAGTTACTTATTATCGACATAAATTTGCGAATTAATCAGAATAAAATCTTATCCCATTTTTCGTGTTATGCCATTTTAGATGATCATTTATTACATAATTGTTGTTTGCAGTGCATGTCTCCGTGATATTGGAACCGAAAAGTACAGGTGAACTGAAAACAAAGCCAATGCAAAATAGCATACGTAATTTACGAGCTAGTGGTATAACACCAGATTTACTTGTTTGTCGAAGTGAGCGACCATTAAATAAAGCATTGCGTGAAAAAATTGCAGCATTTGGAATGGTTGAATTGGAACAGGTAAAGCTTCTTTGATTTATACTCGGAGCATACATTGCAAACAACAATATCCTTCCATTATTTTCGGAGATTATTCTGTTATTATCGAAAATGACTTACTTGTACGGTTCATTCCGTTTCAGGTAATTGGTGTGCATGATGTCTCGAATATTTATAAAGTACCACTTCTGCTTCATCAACAAAACGTGCTAGAAATGATTGTCGAACGATTGAAATTGACAGCTGTGAATGCTGAAGGCACACTCATACTAAAGCCTAATCTTTTCCAGTGGACACATCTCTCTAATCTGTTAGTCTGGTTTTTCTTCATTTCAACGAGGTTGAATAACTGGAATTTACTTTGTTGAATTTTTATTAAATCAAGATAATGGCGGAACAAAAAATGATAGTAAGTGTTAAGATTAAGAAAATAATAAGTTTAAATGTCCGAGTAACTGCTTAAATAATTTTACAGCTGTGATAGTTTCCAAGAAGAAGTTCGTATTGCATTAGTTGGAAAATACGTACGAATCCCTGATGCATATGCATCTTTGAATAAAGCCCTTCGACATTCTGCAATTCATGCTAAACGACAGCTTGTTATTTCGGTAGATTTTTTTTCTTTTTTTAATATATATATTTGTTTCCTCTTTTACTTCTTTTTTACACGCTTTCCCTGCTTCTGGAAAACTGTGACTCCTCGAGATTAGGAATAGTTCATTTTTGTACCTTAACTTTTAATCACCAAACAATTCGGATATTCATAGCATAGCTTCCTTTTGAATAGTGGAATTACAACGGAATTTAGACATTAGCCATCAATTAATTATTACACTTTATTTACTTGTCGATTAAGTTCTTCACAGATATTGGTAAAAAAATTTTGGTATCATAATATGCTAAGAACACATCCATATCATCCATCTTGGGTTGCTTAGCTTCAGTTCCAATCATCAGACTACAATGTTACTACATCTTTGTTGCTCCAAATTTTAAATATTTCATGGATAAGTAAAGTATGGTCGTTAAACTATGAAGATAATGTTATATTTTCACCTACTTCGAACGCTCGATATGTTTTTACGGCATTAGATTCTTTATGCATTCTTTTACAGTATATTCATTCGGAACATCTCGAAGAAACGGATGACTCAGCACGTATGTCGGATTATAACTATGCATGGGAGACGATTAAACAATGCCAGTAAGCTTTATTTGCTTTCATCTGTGCAAGTAACGCATCCTCCTCTTGTCCTCCCAGTACTTATGTTAGAAATTTGATCGTCGTTGTAAAACCAGGTCTATTCAGTTAACCAGTGAAGTATCTTCTGGTGATAACGCAACTACATTGCGAATTTCCCGAAAGAAGCTTATGATGTCAACCGTGAAACTATACCGTTTGGTCCACCCGCCGTTTAGGTTTTTGGTGGTTCTGGTCGCCTAATCTTAACCGGTCATCACGACGGTGGATTGCTGGTTTTGCTCAAGACTTCCTGACTGCAGGTCCTGTCCGTGCTTCGATATTTTGTAACCGTTTCTAGTCGTATACGACAATAAGATTTCCCAGTGGAACGTTTCTATAGTAAATTTCTGATAACATTTCCTTGGAAAGCATGGTTGATACTTATGTTTCGTTTGACTGCAAAAGTGTGTGGAACATGTCCTTTATTGTTGCTGAAGATTGAGAAAGCGTCCATTAGTTGTAAATTGAGATTATCTTCATGATTTTTTTCATATTCCAACTTATGATAATGTTCTTTGTTTTCATCGTGAATTCGAATAGTGGTGTACTTAATTTAGCTATACTTTTAGAGGTATAGTAGTGCCGGGCGGATTTGGTGATCGTGGTGTTGAAGGAAAAATTGCCGTATGCAAGTATGCGCGGGAGAATAATATTCCATTCTTAGGTTTGTTGTACACCATTCTTCACTTTATTCTTAAATATTTCAATTTTGGAATAAATAAAATGAATCGTCTTTACGATCTACTGTAGCACTTCTCCATAATACTTATTAATTTTGCAGGAATTTGCCTTGGCATGCAGTGTGCGGTCATCGAATTTGCACGAAATGTCTGCGGTATCAAAGGTGCTAATTCAACCGAATTTGACAAGACGGTTGTTGGAGAACAACAAGTAGGCGATAAGTTTTAATTCTTGAGGTAATAATGACTAGACAAAGTAGAAGTGAGGTAGTCTTTTCCTAAGCATTAATGATTAGGTTAAGGATGAAATAGCTTTTTCCCAAAATGATGCTTGCGTAAAATTAAATTTATTCCCTCCCGAAAATTTCGGTTTAGCATGAAATATGTTACCTTTTTGCTCTTTATTTTTCTTTGGCTTATTTGTGGACGTTCTACCGAAAGCATGAAAGTATAAATGTTCATTTTAAGAATTTGCTTCAAATACTGATTGAAGATTTTGATGTTTTAAGGTAGTGATTGATATGCCAGAGCATAAAGGTGACGAGAAAGGTATGGGTGGTACAATGCGTCTTGGTTTGAGAGATACAGTTTTTCTGACGGAGAACTGCAAACTACGTAAGTTTTAATCAGACGTTTTCTTGTACTTTATGTTTTTCATCTCTGCATTTTTGCACTGTGAAGATGGTGCTAATAAATTTTATTCCGATTTGTCATTTCAGGAAAATTGTATGACGCGAGAAAGATCAGTGAACGTCATCGGCATCGCTATGAAGTTAATCCTAAAATTGTTTCGAAACTTAGTCGAGCTGGTCTGCTCTTTGTTGGTAATTTTTGATCATTTCCAATCGTTTTGCAAAAATTTTATTGATGAAAAAAAAACCAAACTTCATGATTAGAAGTTCTTTTTTCGTGTGATTTAGGTATGGGAACAGATGAGAATGTAACACATATAAATGGTGACGTATCATCATATGCTACATTGTTGAAATTAGCTGAATGTGAAACCTCGATAACTGTGGAGGAAAATAATGTGCAGGAATTCTCTGAAATCTCTCGGCGAGTATGTTTTGATAAACGAGTTTCGATGTTTTGTCCATTCAATTTATTACAACGTAATTGCAAACGAAAAGTTCGGTGGTAGCTGATCGATAATTAAAATTAACGTATTTCAGGAAGTACTGTCCAAAATTGAAGATTTGTGCGGAACTGGTGGTGATAAAACCGGTATGACATCTGTACGTATGGAGATTTTTGAGTTACAAGGTTTTCTTTTTAAATACCAGCCGTATTTTTAAGAGGAAATTTTACTTGGTGATGTATTCTCATTGATTTATACCCCACTTTTTATATCCCATCAAGTTCACTCTCTAACGTGTACTGTATCACTGAATCCATCACTTGAAATGCAGCAACATGAAATTTCAAATGTTTTTGATATCCATTTTAGGCCATCAATACTTTGTTGGTGTTCAATTTCACCCGGAATATCTGTCGCATCCTTTACAACCTAGTCCTCCACTTTTTGGTCTGATCTGTGCAGCTTCCGGACAGCTGGAAAGTTTTCTTCATGGTTCCAGGATACCCACACCAGTGAGCGTCTTGAAAGCAGCAGAAAATTACGTGAGTGTGCGTGTTCTGTACCACTTTTTACCTTGGACTGTGTGGAAATTTCTAAAAAAGAATGAACTTAAAATCGTCACCATGTTTACGCATCAAGTATTTATCAGCGTGCATATATTTTTCACTTCGATTATTTTAACTTCTCGTTTCATTGTTTTGAAGTTTTTAGATTCAACAGTTCTAGAACCTCTAGTAAGGTGAGCAATAAATGAATTAAAGTAAATGTTGAGATTTTATAAGCCACCTTCCAACTTGATATTCCACAAAGTATGCTTAATTAAATACTTGCATAGTAGTTTTGATGATTAATCGTTTCAGGGTCCGAGTGTCGCTGAAGATGTTTTACGAGCAACTCATTTATTTGTCAACAAAGTTAGTATACTCGATGACCAAAATATTGATGAAGCTCATTTAAGTGATAAAAATGAATGCTAACAAGAAACATTGGTCGATTCAAGCTCATATATGAAGAATTCTTTTTTTTTATGGAAAGACTTTAAGATACATGAATATTTACCTTATTTGTTTGTTATTTTTTATGTGCTTTGGTTTCATCTCACTTTTAGAATCAACTAACTACTCATGGATTTGTCAACTTGTAATCGACACTTTTTTTCACGAATTTCATTCCAACTTTCTTTCATCTTAAGCTTTATTTCATTTCAACATTTCGCCAGTATTCTTTTGCTGCATCTCCTTTATTTCAGTCATGGTTTTTTTTCATGCAAAACGAAGCAAACATGCAGGAATGTATCGGACTCTACATTTTTTAAATTATTTTTCATAATTCCTATTTATCTTTGCATTATAAAATAGCATGTAACAATTGCATTATGGAACTGTAGTGCCTTTTGAATCTTCTGAACAATGGTTACTTTTCGACAGACATAAACTTAATCAATTTGTGGAAACTTAGAAATACGCTTGGAACAGATTGAAGAATTTGAGGGCCAAAAAATTAAAAAGTCAAAGGAATTAATGTCAACAGTTTCCATTTGCAAATTTTGTCACTAGCTCTATTTCTGAAATCCTATTTCGGTTTATGTCGTACGATGACATATATTACATGTAGTATCATTTCTTTTGTTTGTAGATATTAGTTTTATTAGAAATCTAATTCCTAGTAAATCTCAAAAAATCTCTTTAAATTTTCAGGTATTAAAAGAATTGATTGTTCTAATGCTTCTTTATTTGGGAAAAATTAGAAGAAACTGTGATGGAATATATTGTCGGAAATTTCTAGTTTCTTTTTTTCTCCAAATTTTCATTTATTTCCCTACTGTTTGTCATTTGTCACTGTTTTTGACTAATTTTGGACAAAATTTTGAGCGTTCTGTTGGTAAGAGACTTTTTTTTTATGCTTGGGATTTGCAAATCATTTCAAAATTCGTCACCATTTGTCATTTTGATGTCATGTTGATCTGTCAGGTATTTCTCTGTTACTTTTTTTTTTCTTTTACATAAAAAATTATTCGGTCTATTTTTCTTGGTTTAAATTGCGTTGAAGGACGTTGTATGAGTTGTTCAGGATAAAATTCAAAATATATGTTACCAAATTTAAATAAAAAAGAAATTGTTGAATAATCGTAGTAGTTATTATCCTAAAAGGAAAAATGGATCAATGGTTCCAATTAGGAAAACAAGATTGGCAATACTTTTGTTTTGTTACTCATTGATTTAGATTTGTTATGATTTAATCATAATTTGATGGAAATTTCAGCAAAATGCTGTTAAAGGAAGATGATGAGTAATATTTAAGTTGCATTGTCGCATGGAATGCATGTACTGTCGCGTAATGAATTTTTCAAGTTCACATGATTATTAGTTGATTCATATGAGTGGGAAATGTTTCACTTATTTGTTAGGTATATTTTGACAATAGATATTTCGAGTATTTATCAAGTATTACTCACTGATAACGCTGATAAGTGTTATCAGTGAGTAATACTAATATTTATACGCGAAGAAAATTTGATAAGTTAATTTTCTTATGTTTCGATTAAATATCCTAAACGCCTATTGTTTAATATTAATGCGATCAATGTTCGATCGGTAGAATGATTTACCTTTTTTTTTTTTTTTTATGATCAGTTTATGATTGCTTTGTCCACTTGGTAGAGGTTACTTCTTACTTTTTTTTTTTCAAAGTAATGTTGGGAGTTTAGAATTAGCCTTGAAATAATGTATGGATTTTCTGTTTGTATGATTTTAGCATAGTAGATAAAGTTATTCCATTAATCGAGTGTACTAATTTGAATAATTGATTGAAATTCGAAAAAAAAAAGTGGAAGGAATTTTAGTTGCTATTACTGAATGGTAATGATCGTTATAGTAATCTTTATTTTTGGTTATAATAATTCATTGTTAGTAATCATCATTAATGATCGAATCAATAATCATAATAATATAATTCGTAATTGATAATCATAATAATGATTGTAATAAATAATAATCAATAATAATGATAAATGATTTTCTGCATAAATTTTTATATCTGTATTTTTGGTTATAATAATCGTTGTTAGTAATCATTATTAATAATCGGATTAATAATCATAATAATATAATTCGTAATTAATGATCGTAATAATGATTATAGTAAATAATAATCAATAATAATGGTAAATAATTTTTATACCTGTAGTAATCTCATCCTGGAATTATTTAGAAAAGTTTGTTACCAATATTAACAGAATATCAAATATTTTTTTAAAAAACAGTTATGAAATATTTTTATGTAAGAAATTGTAAATATTCTAATAAGGATTACTGTTGTTTGTTATTGCTATTACTGTTGATATTGTTGTTTGTTATTTGTTGTTTATTTACTATTTGTTGTTGTTTATTTATTATTTGTTGTTGTTGTTTACTGTTATTTTTATTACTATTGTTTTTTCTATTCCTTCTTTTTTAACATCTCTTACTATATATTGATATGGTAATTTGATTACGAAAAAAAAAATATAGGTATAACAAAAATTGGTATGCATAAATGAGAGAATAAAAGATACATAAGTGAGATATCATGTGAAAATACTTTCTGCATACCTGTAATTACAATTTTGTAATTAACAGGTACGCAGAAAGTATTTTTGCATGATGTGAATTTTTTCTTCCTTTTTCTTTTTGTTTTTTATTTTTCCTCTTCTTTAATTTAATATTTTCGAGAAAAGGAAGGGAGAAAAGGAGAGAGAGATAGGGAGAGGGGAAGGGGAGAGAGAGGAAGAGAGAGAGAAAAAGATGATTTCGGAATATTACTGCGAAAAATGGGTGTTAAATACATTTCTCAAGGTTTATATGGTGGGAAAAAAAGAAGAAGGATGAAATTGAAGATTGGAAAAGTTTATTTAATTCATGTGGTATATACATTTGTTTTATTTTTTTCCACTTTTTTT